ACAGCGAGAGAGGGAACACAAGCAGGGGGAGTGGGAGAGGGAGAAGCAGGCTCCCTGCAGAGCAGGGAGCCTGATGCGGGACTCGATCCCAGGACCCTGGGATCATGACCTGAGCTGAAGGCAGTCACTTAACCAACTGAGCCACCCAGGCGCCCTCCACTGGGTTTTTGATAGGGATTGTGTTGAATCAGTAGATTAGTTTGCAAAGTGTTGTCATCTTAACAATATGAAGTCTCCTTATCCATGAACATGTGATGTCTTCTTTCACTATTTTGTAGTTTCATTGTACAAAATTTATACTTCTTTGGTTAAATTTATTCCTAAGTATTTTATTCTTTTTGTAAATGGAATTATTTTCTTAACTTATTTTCACATTGTTCATTACTAGTATATAAAGAGACCGTTGATTTTTGTAGATTGAACATATATTCTGCAACCTTGCAGAACTTATTTATTAGCTTTAATAGTTTTTGTGAATCCTTTATGTTTTTCTATATTTAAGAGCATGTCATCTGCAGATAGAATTAGTTCTACTTCTTCCTTTTCAATATGGATGCCTTTTATTAACTTTTCTTGGCTAATTGCCCTGGCTAGAACCTCCAGTACAACATAGAATAGAAATGGTAAGAACAGACATCTTTGTCTCATTGCTTTTCTTAGGGAGAAAGCTTTTAGTCTTTTACTGTGTAGTAAGATGTTAACTGTAGGTTTTCCATAGATGCCTTTTATCAGGTTGAGGAAGTTCCCTTTTATTCCTAGTTGGTTGAGTGTTTGTATCATAAAAGGGTGTTGGATTTTGTCAAATGTTCTTTTTCTGCATCTGTTGAAATAATCACGTACCTGGGGTTCCCAGTTAAGTGTGATTTCAGCTCAGGTCATGATCTCAGGGTCGTGAGCTCTGCCCTCATCACAGAGTCTGCTTGAGATTCTCTCTCTGTCTCCTCTGCCTTCCTCCACTCATACGTGCACATGTGCTCTCTCTTAAGATAAATAAGTAAATAAGAACTTTAAAAAAAGTTATAAAAAAATAATCATGTACCTGTAGTTTTTGTTTCCCCTCCCCTATTACTTGTGTAAAGTAACCACCAAAAAAAATTTAAGACAATTTCAAAATCTTCCTCAATTTTACTACCTGAACCCAATTATATTTGCTTCCACATAATGCAGTTATATTGTATTTTTAACTTTATTTTTTAAAAGATTTTATTTATTTATTTATTTGAGAGAGCATGAGCAGGGGCAGAGGGAGAGGGAGAAGCAGACTCCCTGCTCAGCAGGGAGCCTGATGTGGGACTTGATCCCAGGACCCTGGGATCATGACCTGAGCCAAAGGCAGATGCTTAACCACTGAGCCACCCCGGCGCCCCTGTATTTTTAACTTTAATAAGTGTAATGTCATAACCTTAGATCTACCCCTTGTTTTTTTTTTATTACTTGCATATTATGGGGTGGATTTTTTAGGAATACTATTGTTTCAAAATGAAGGAGGATGGAGTTGAGTATCCTGACTCAGGTAGGAACAGGTGTTAGAATGGGAAAGAAGGAATGAAAGAAGCAAAAATATTTACTGAGCAGGTGCTCTTTACCAGAGACTCACTGTTTCATTTAACAATAATCTACCCCCTCCCCCAACCCTTTGACTGAGGTCTGGGAGGAAATCAAGGTACTCGAGGGTGAGAGTTCCATCATTATCCCCAGATAACCAAGGAGCATATCTGGATACAAACTTATTATCTAACACCAGAAGCTGAACCATTTTCATTTCACTACATTTCGGGAGGGTGAGTGTTATAAACTGCTAAGCCTTTTTCTTAAATCTATTAGCATTTCTGTTTACCATCTGACAATAATGCAATTGGCATGTTTTTGTGAAATGCCTGATGATGTTCAAAGATACTAAACACTGTTTTAAAATAGGGAAAGGTGAAGTTCTGTTCATTATGAACCCTTGATTTAACCATTACCTCTTTTTTGAGCTACATTGCTTACTTGGGGATTTGAATTAGGTAATTGGGAATATAAAAGAAACCAAAAGAATAACTTTACATAAAACTTAGGTTTCTAGTTAGAGTTTTTTTTCATGTACTTAACAAAAATATTAAAATGTCCCTTTCTAGTTTGGGATGCATTACTTCTTTGTAAATTAATCATATTTTCAATAGTCCATTATCAGTATTGCACAGTGATTAAAAGCTTGGGCTATGGAATAAACAGATCTGGATTTTAATATGAGAACTGCCGTACAGTAGCTCTATTGCCTTGGACAAATTATTTAATCTTTTTGAATTTTAATGTCCTCATTTGTAAATTGGGCTTAGTAGTAGTAAAATACCTCTGGGGTGGAGAGGGAGAGTGCGTGTGTGTGTCTGTGTGTGTGTATGTGCAGGTATGCATGTGTGCATGTGATCATGTGTAAAGATTAAGTTAATTTACACATTGAAGCACTTAGCACAGTTCTTGACACATAGCTACAACCCATAAAATGTAAGCTATTATTATTATTAATACAATCCATTCTAGCCATAGGATTTGTATGAAAGTTTTATTTTCTTCAGAGGCATCTAGGTTTAAAGAACTAGAGGCTAGAGCTAGACTGTGCCAACTAGCTTAGGGTCTTGGACAAATTACTGAAACTTCTGAACCTTTAGAGATGTGCCTCATCTCTAAAATAGAGTGATAATACCAACTTGTAGAGTTGTCATGAGGATTAAGTGAGATAATAGTCTTAAAACAATTAGAGCCTTCTTTGGCACTTTGAATTCCTTCTGATAACATTGTTACAGCTGAAATTTATAAGACGCTCAAACCATGGCTATCAGAAGTTAGAAAGCTTTCCACATAACAGAAGATCAGGTTTACCAGTTATGGGATACGTTCATATCATTACCAATCAGGGCTGAGAAGCCTGAAGATGTGTTTCAGGCTTTAAAAAGGAAGAAGCATTGAAAGAAAGGAAGCCTGTTGGTAAAGATGTGTACATCTCAAATGTGTACAAGATGACTGTAAATACTAATACCTCTTTTAAATAAGTAACTGAAATAATTAGTTCTCTAAACTGGTGATAATAGTTTTGGAAAATATGTATAATTTGGAAAAACTTCCACATCAAACATGGGTAATGTACACTACTTACATTTTGGTATAAACAATTTCCTAAAGAATAATTTTTTCCTTTTAAGGTGATTGGTCTGTACATTGCATGATTATAGGGAATTATAAGTCATATTCTATGAACAGGGATTAATATTTTTAATTTTCAGGAATTTTTGAGGGTAGGGTAGATTGTTTTTCAAAGTCTTTATATAACCTGGATTAAACTGATGTTTTCAGGTGTAGACAGCAGTTGTCTTATATCTTTCTCAGATGCTAACAGGGCATTAAATCATAGGCCTAGAAGCCAGAATCATTGTCTGTTTTTCTGTAAAAGGTATACTACTAACATATGTGTGGTATTTGTTTTTGTTTTTTTACTTTGACCTGATGATAGCTTCTCAAAGAGATGACAGAAAGATCACATACATTGTACCTGGCTTTAAAAAAAGATTTACTGTTAGGGGAAAAGAGTATCATTGTTTGGTTTGTGTCTTCAACTATATCAAAATTAAACATCTGTATATGTCAAATATATTTAGTGGTAATTGAGAAACAAATGAGCAAGTGCTAAGCATTTACTGTCTTAATAGTCATATTTTATTCCTGTTAAAGAATTGACAGTTTTAACAGAACACTGATTTCAGGCCATTATTCTTTTGTGACAATTTATTTACTTGAATAAAAGTAAATGACATTTAAATGACATTTAAAAATAAGCACGTGAATGTTCTAAAAACAGGAATAATGTTTTGATAAGACTTCTGATAGAAATGCCAAAGTGTAACTTTCTAGGTTTGAGTAAGGGAAGGTATAGGTGCCAAATCCTGGTTTTGTGATTCAACTTTGCACAGGGCTACTCTTTCACCAGTAACAAGTATGATGGCAAAAAACATCTACCATCTGTGAAATTAGAGTCGCAGCACAAACCCTGAGCTCTTTTCCGTATGCAGAGTACTTTTTGAGTGTGTCAGAAGTGTGTGGAACTCCTAACTTCCCCATTTGTACCTCTTATTCTTTACTCGAAAGGTTTCATCTGAAGAGGACTGGTCTTACAACAGCAAATTTTCACTTCATCGACAACATCATGCAGATGGTAATAATGAAATGCTGCTTCAGATTGGATTTCATTTCAAACTCCCGGAAAGCACAGATACATTACAGACATTCAAAGATACCATTTACCTTACTCAGGTAAGGCATTTTCATTCTGGAGTTCAACTGGTTCCTTTGGTTAACATAGGGGATCATGTAGATTTTGTAAGCCTTACGTGGTGAAAAAATATTCAGGTTTTTATTTCATTGATTGAGGAGTTTATCTTCTTCAAAACAGATGAATGATGACATGTAATACCTGAAATAGTTAATTTTTGGCATTTGTCTCTCTTACAAAGAACAAACAGCTCACAATGTTCTATAGCAAATTGTGCATTAAAATGTTCCCTAGCTCATAATCACTATAAAGTGTCAGTAATTAAGAAAATAGCTTTCCCCAAGGACAAAATGGAATAATGGAACACAGTAGAGTCCAGAAACAGACTTATGTATAATATAATCACTTGATTGATGGCCATGATGCCACTGCGATCCGGTGGGAAAGGATAGTTTTACCAATAGACAGTACAGTATCAAGTGGGTATCTTTGTAGGAAAATACATGAACTTTGACTCCATATACAAAAATTAATTTGATCAGTGATCAAGGAATCAACTGTGAAAGTCTCATTTTCATAACCTTGGCAAAGATTTCTTAAACAGGACATAAAAGACATTAACTATAAAAGAAAATAATGATAAATTGGACTTCACTAAAATTATGGACTTTTGTAAATTAAGACACCATTAAGAGAGATAAAAGACAAGCCACAGATTGGGCAACGGTATCTGTAATACATGTATCTGATAAAAAGATTTGTATTCAAAATAAAGAACTTCTATGTAGTAATAAGAAAAAGATATAACCTATTAAAAAATGGACAAAAACCTTGAACAGGCACTTCACCAAAGAAGATATCCAGTGTTCAATAAATATGTGAAAATGTGTTCAATTTCATTCTCAATCAAGGAAATGCAAAATTAAAATCACGCTAGGGTACCCCTACACTACAAGGTACACAATGTCATTTTAGCACAATGGCTAAAATTAAATAGATTGACAATGCCAACTGTTGGTGAGGATGTGCGACAGCTGGAACTTGTAGACATTGTTAGTAGGAATAGAAATTTGTTTAATCACTTTGGAAAATTTTATGGCAGTTTCTATCCAAGCTAAACATTTGCTTCCTCTCTGAATCAGCATTTCTACTACAAGCTATGTACCCAAGAAAAATGAGTGCATATGTCTGCCAACAGACATCTAAAATAATGTTCATACCAGCTTTATTCATAATAGCTCCAAACTGGAAACAGCCTAGATGTTCTTTAACAGAAGAATTTATAAACTATGGTATATTTATGTAATGGAATATTCCATAGCAATACAAAAGAATGAACTGCTGATATCAGCATCAACTTGGATGAATCTCACAAACATTATGTTGAGCAAAAGAAACATTCAAGTTTTAGTTATAGACAAAATGAATGAAGATGATGGAGAGCAAATTGGTGGTAACCACTCTTGTGGAGGGGATAGTGAATTATGGTTAGAAATGGATATCAGGAAACTCTGTGGAGTGCTAAAAAAGCTTTATATCTTGATCTGGGTGCTGGTTACATGGGTGTATACACATGATAAAATTCACTGAGGCATACAATTAAGATATCTGCATGTTACTTTATGCACCTTATTGGATTTTTTTTAAAGATTTTATTTGTTCATTTGAGAGAGAGAGGGACAGAGAGAGTGCAAGCGAGGGGAGAGGCAGAGGGAGAGGGAGAAGCAGGCTCCCCGCGGAGCAGGGAGCCTGACATGAGGCTCAATCCCAGGACCCCGAGATCGTGATCTGAGCCGAAGGCAGACGCTTAACCATCTGAGCCACCCAGGCGCCCCTGGATTATTTTTTAAACAGCTCTATTGAGAGATAATTGATATACCATAAAATTCACTCATTTTAAGTGTACAATTAAGTGATTCTTAGAATATTTATTGAGTCATGCAACCGTGACCATAATCCAATTTTAGAACATTTCTGACATCCCCAAAAGATCCTTGTGTCTATTTGCAGTTACTCTCCTTTCTCACCTTCAGCCCCAGGTAAACATTGATCTGCTTTCTGTCTGTATAGATTTTACTTTTCTCAACATTTCTTGTAACTGGACTCATACAGTGTGTGATGTTTTGCATCTGGCTTCTTTCACCTAGCATAATGTTTTTGAAGGTCTTCCATGTTGTAGCATACACCTGCACTTCATTCCTCTTTCTTGCTAAATAGTATTCTGTTGTAATGGATATACCATATTTTATATATCCATTCATCTCTTGATGCACATTTGGATTATTACCAATTTTTGCCTATTATGAATAATACTGCTATGAATATTAGCATACAAATCTTTGTGTGCATATCTTAATTTCCTCTGAGTTGAAATACATGCGTGAAATTGCTGAGTTATATGGAATTTATATTCAACTTTGTAAGAAACTATCGAGCTGAATTTTAGGTAATATTTTCTTCTTAATGTTTTCATTTACTCTCTTTATTTGCCAATTTTATTTCACGAACCTGTGAACTACATGCATGCATAAGACTATATTAAAGCCAGGGCTTATTTATCTGATGTCTTTGCCATACTTGTTTCAAGTTCAGAGAGAGAAGGCAGGAGCCTAATCTCAGTCATATGAGTTGATCTGAAATAGATTTGAAGTTTTTGTTAAACATGATCACATTTTAATTTTTGCATCTTAGCACCTAAAAAGATACCAATTTTAATCTAAACTCATGCCTACTCTCATCAGTTTTCTCCTATATAAAAACAAAAAAATCTGGATGGAAGCTGAAGCAGAAAACTCTAAGCCAAAAGAATACTCCTTTTTAGAAGATGATAAACTAATAAAGAAAATTTTAATGTTTTAATCATAAGCTTATCAGTTAGGGAAGTTTTGATGTGTAATTTATGAACTTACCATAGAACACAAGTTAAAAGATAAAGTTGATATCTGTCCCTTTTAAAGTATTGAAGTTCATCATTATTAGCTTTTCATAGACAATATTCTATAAAAGAGTCTCAGTTTTGATATGTGAAATAGGATGATCCTTATTCGTGTGTGTGTGTGTGTGTGTGTGTGTGTGCACGCACACGCGGGAACCTTTTCAGCTGTTGTTTTTCATGCTGGCTGTCCTCCTCCCAGCTGTTCATTTTATTACTGTTACTTTATTCTATTTTCTCAAAATGACATTCAGAGAACTGACAAAAATAATTGTTCTTTCTGAACTCATTAGCATTAGCGGTACATAGTTAGGAGCTGGGTGTACAAGTGGAATTATTTGTTGCTGGGTTTTGTTGGTGATGGCTTTCATATGATAATTTAGCACTGGTGTCTTATCAGGCATTGGCTTGGAATTGGATTGTGTTAGTTGTACCTTAGAACTTTCTAATGTACTAGATGGGATCTGAGATGGAAAAAAAATCAGAATTACGATTTTTTTTTTTGTTTTTAGTGTTGAATTTTCTTGACTGAAACATAGACAGGAAATGTTAGAGTAAAACATTCTTTTCCCCCTTGCTACTTTGATTTTAGAACAATTATCTTTGACATGTGCATTAGAAATAAAAACCTTTCTTTGGTCCATTTTTTCTGTTCCTGCTTCCACCCTCTCTTCTTTCTCTCGTTGTTGTCAGACTGTTCTGAAGTGCCTGCTTGGGTACCACTTCTTCAGACGGTCTATAGAGCAATTTTTTGCAACTTTCAGAAAAATCTTGGCTGGGAAAGCTGTGCGGTAAGTTTCTTCACATTTAGATCTTTTCCTATCTTCTCCTTATCTTACAACAGCAAAAGTATCCTCGGTTTTTACTTCTTTCATTCTTCTAATATTCCAGAATAATCTTGCCTCACCTTTCATTTTCCTACCTTACCCTGTTATACTGTATTCCAAATAGCCTACTTACCTCGGCCCACTCTCTTAAGCTATGTTGCACAGGCTCACTGCTTAGTCTGAGGACTGTCTAACCTTCACATCGAAACTTGATCAATTTAACTCTGCCAGTAGGCCTCTTACTAGCCACTTAGGAAGCTGGGCTAGTGACAATCTTTACTAACCCCTTAGCTTATAGCTCCCTCTAGTGCCTTCATTTATTCTTCACATATTTATTAAGCACGTAATCAGGGCTAGATGCTTGGGGATGTCCTTAAGAGATTCATATTCTTTAGGGGTCCATTTTATCTTCCTATGTTGCGTGTAACTTGATCACAAGAACAAAAAAAAAAAAAAAAGGAAGACTATGTTGTAGGCCCAGGTGTTGATGATACTTGCTACCTTGGAACTATTATTTGTTTGGTAAGCAGCACTGAGATTTGATAGAAGATCCAGGCTATGCTGAGCTTTTAAGATGGATGGGGTCAGTAAAAGAGAGGAGTGATGGGCGCCTGGGTGGCTCAGTCATTAAGCGTCTGCCTTCGGCTCCGGTCATGATCCCAGGGTCCTGGGATCGAGTCCCACATCCGGCTCCCTGCTCAGCGGGAAGCCTGCTTCTCCCTCTCCCACTCCCCCTGCTTGTGTTCCTGCTCTCGCTCGCTCTCTGTCAAATAAATAAATAAAATCTTTAAAAAAAAAAAAAGAGGAGTGATTAATAGAGTACATTACATACTAATATATATATATGCAACATGTAATTTAGCAGTCAAGAAGATAGTCAGCATTCTTTGCGTGTCTACCAAATGCCTCGCCCTGGGCCATGAGATGTGTTGTATATCTTCTTACATAATTCTAACAACATCTCCAGACATCTATGTTACTGTTTTCATTTTATATTTGAGTAAACAGGCTCAGAAAGGTTAAGTATTTTCCCAAGTTCTCAGGCAATGAATGGAGCAAGTTTCTGCCTTTTAAACTATAATATTATGTCCTTTCACAATTGAGATAAGGGAAATTCTATAACTACTGAGGTGTTTGGTTGAATTTTAACACCAATTTGCAGCACTTAAATAAAGCAGACATCAGAAATTTGGCACATTAAAAGAGGCCTTATTGGAACAATAGAGAAAATCAACAAAGCCAAAAAGTTAGTTCTTTGAAATGATCAACAAAATTGAAAAAA